GCGGTGCTGCCCCATGTGCTGGCTGCCTTTGCAGCAATCTCTGCTCCTGGCTGTGGCTAAGTTTGGGCTGATGGACCTCAGGCCTGACCCACAGCAGTTTATCTTATTTGGCATCCACTTAGGTTACTAGGCATTGCTTTCAACAGGGGTCCAAATGTGAAAACAAGACCAATCCCTGCTTCATGAATAAAGAAAAGGGGCTATGGGATGCAGTGAAATTGTGGTGAGAAAAACACACAAAAAAAACCATAGAAATGCAACTTGATGAGAGTTGCTGGGGAAAAGCCAAACCACCCAACACAAGGGTGACCACAGTTCAGAAGGAGAGAAGTGAGGACCAGGGAGGTGAAGAGAACAGCACACCTTGCCCTACTGCTGTACGCTGCATGACACAAGTCATGGGGAAGAAAATAACTTCTCAGGGAAGGGCCAGGAAGGAGAGAATCAGGGCCAGAAAGAGGTCTGAGTGAGTAGTGATCTCCAAAGATGGCAGAAGAAGCATTTATGCAACCACAGGAAGAGGACAGGAGTATGGCAGGGATGGGAGGATGTGCAGGTTGCAGCAAGGAGGATCTCTTATCAGTCCTAGGAATGTGGAGAAAGTTGAGGGTCAGGTCAAAAGCCAGTAAGAAGGCAGAAGGACAGAAAACAGAGCAGCTATAGCAGAACCATAGATAAAACAAAAGTGACCTTGGTCTTAACATGAACCTTCTTGTACTTTCAAAACCTTGTTGGTGGCTGAAGAAGAACATTACTAATGTTTGGAGATGAGAAAGAGTCTACAGGCCTCCACAGCTTCTTCCCAGAGAAAAAGAATGCCAGTAAATGGTGAGAAAAGTTTGACTATCAAGCCATGTAAGGTAAAAGGACACATCAAAAGGCATGCGACTTGTCATTTCTGATTCCTTACTCAGAATTAGCACCAGCACTGTGTGAGATTCATATCAAAATCTCTTAAATGAATATTTGCCTATCAAGAGGGTGAGCAGAGGAGCAGAGAGAATGGAGGCCAGCTGACCCATTTAATTCCAGAGTCTACCTATCCAACAACACTGAGCCCATGCCCGCCTTGCCAGGAGGCCTGGAAGGTACCGGCCGGCTCACTCTTGTATCCTTCAATTGCTAGGGTCATCTCTTGAATAGGCTCACGTTTTCTTCAGTTTCTTTCCTAGGAAAAGGCACAGCCATATTCAAATGTCAAGAGATCTCTTTATAATTCAGAAGATGACAGAAGCTGTATTTTTGATCCAGTTCGGTTTGTGTGGGTCGTGTGTGTCAAGCAGATACGTATGACTCAAAGCTATCAGGAGACAGACAGTGAGAAGCAAGGTGAGAGACAGAGAGCATTCCAAATGCCTACCACCAGGGCAGCCAACATCCATGAAAGCCATATCTGAAAGATGCAGAAACACAACCCTCCCTCAACTTTCTATGCATGCAGCATGGGTGACTAACCCTGCAAAGAAGCTCATCCTTCTCCCTCTAGCTCCTGGATGGGCTCTGTGCATTGTAACATCCAAGTCTTTTGGAAGAACCAGTGGATTCTACCTTCACGACACCTGCTTGGAAGGCAGGACAACAATCTTCATTTTAAATGAATTTTTCATTAAAAAGGAGGAAGTTGGTCATGGGGTAGATTGACTAGCTCACCCAAGAACACACAGGAAGCCTATGACTGAGTGGGGGAACTGAGCCCCGGCTACGAGTTCCAGTTGAGTACCCAGTCCAAACCGGGTGTCCAGCAGAGCAGCTTTTCTACCACAGCTCTGAAATTTATGGGTTTTGAGAGGGTTTTAAGGGTTTTAACTGAATGTGGTTCTTTCATTTGTCTAGTCACCATGTTTCATTTCACTCACACTTCTGCTTTGTGAAAACCTTTTATTCTGGTTCTTCATATTGTGGCTTAAAAAAAGAAAAAGACAAATATCAAACAGAATTTAACCTTCACTATTTGGTCTTCTCCTTTGCAAACATTAACCTCTCTCTAGGTCTAAGTGCTGTGTCCTTCATTTGTACACTCTGTACTCATAATCCTGGCTTCAAACTATGTCAGTAGTATCTAGAGTAAGATTTCCAATTCACAGTTTCAAAGCATAACAGCAAGTGCTTATACAAACAGCAATGTTCTAAAGCAACAGAACATCTCTGGTAGGAAATCAAGAGAAAGGTGACACACAAAAAAAAGATGCTAAATAAAAATCCCAAAATAGCAATGCAATGCATCAAAATGAGCAATCAGCTAAAGAACAGCTACTGGAAAGCTGCTGCCTTAAAGTGCCTAGAACGATATGTAGGCTTGGCTAACGAGCCGCTGTACAGATGTGACCAATGTTATTGCAGTTACTATATGGAAGCAGTAGGTAAAAACATATTTTTAAAGGTAAAAACATGGTATCTTTATTATCATGGTGATATTTAATTGATATTTGAAAATGTCTTTAGATCTATTAGTGAAAGGCACGTAACATTTCTATCTCAAAATTTTGTAGTATTACATCGTTTGCAACAAGACATAGCAAGTTAAGCTGTTATTATCATAAAATAACTTGCAGTGGCTGAATTCTTTACAAAGAGAGATTTGAGAGGGGAAAAAAGTAGTAGTTAATTTTCACCTGTGTGTAATAGCTACCAGGGTAAAAAGAAAAAACTTTGGACATCTCTGAGAAAATACTGCAAAACCACAGACCTTTTGGAAGTGGCCAATATGCTATTTTGAGCTTATCCGGATGGAGCCCAAGCTATCCACAGCTAACCAAGGTGCATCAGAAGAAGGCCATCCCTCCACTTGGACCACAGGCTTTCACCAGCTTCTGCCCACTGTGCATCCACGGCTGTCAAACCCCACAAAATAGCTTGAAACTTTCATGCTAAAAGCAGCTGCAAAAATAACTCTCTAAAAATAATCTAAACCTAGTCCCAGTCAGCAGCTGAAAAAACAATTACTGATTGAAAAACTCAGTGTTTGATATTACTTAATAGTCGGGGAACAGCTATTCGTGAATCACAATTAACATTTACTTAACTATTTAAAAACACAGATCTACTGTTTGAGACTTCATAGAGGCTCAACCTGAGGCCTTCTGGCACCACTACAAAGACTAATCTGGTTCCATTCAAGCGACATGGGGCAGGAGGCCCCCCTGGAAGAGCGAGTGCTTTGGGGGACGGGTGTAAGGGAGGCCCGTCCAGCAGCAGCGCGCAGGCCCATGGTGCCCGGGCCTGGTCTGGGACGGCGCTGTGATCTCCTCAGTGAAGGAAATGCGCGGCCTGGGCTCCTCTATCGGGCGCCACGCCGACTAAATCCCCGCAGCACAACAAACACCGAGCTGCTGAGGGCAACGCGGCCTGAAGTTGCCTTTGAAACGGCCCTAATGGCTACGGAGAGCGAGGAGAGCCGTGGCAGCCAGGGCACGTGGTGGGAGCGCGGCTTCTTGCTGCATCACCGTGCAAGGGTCTGGTGACCCCACGGGCACCGCGCCGGCCTGCGTCTCCGCTCACATCCTGACAGGAGACCGACCACTCGCAGGCAAGATGCCAGAAAAACAAACGTTGGTTTTGTTCTAAACGCATTTTTCCCCAAGCAGTCGCCGCACTCGCTCCCTGTCCTGCTGACAGAGCTGAGGTCCCACCACTGACCGCGAGCGGGTCCCTTCTATTTCCATTTTATTCCCACCCAGCCATGGAGAATCCAGCTGAGGGCCACCCTGGCCTGGGTATGAGCGATGACAAAATGGCAGGCAGCCAACAGCGCCCGGTACGCGGCTGACACAGGCATTTTTGTCAAGCACATCCTCACCTGGAGAACAACCTCACCTACGCAGATCAGAAATGCACAAACAAGAAGCCCATTTCAAAGAAACAATTTAATTAATCTACCAGCTGGGGATGAAGGATTGAGTGTTGAGATCAGCACTTTTTTAAACTCCCCACTAGCTTCCAGCCTGCACACGTAACCTACAGGGACTGTTTTGCAAGGTGCCAAGCAGTAACCAGTAAAATGCACAAGCTTGTGCTTAACTTCTAAGTGACTTGGGTCCTAAGTTCCTAACTCTCTTGCCCTTTTCCTCTGAAGGGACCATATTGTCAGTGGCTATTTGGAGGGAAATGCACTGAACTTGTAAGTATTTCTTATGTCCGGGTAACCTGTATCATCAGCAGAGGAAAAATGAGGGCAATATAAAAGTAAATAAAATATTTATAAAATTTTAGGTCCCAAGTAGCCCTAAATGGATTCAGCTTTCAAAAAATGACTATATAAATGGCATTATGAGGTTTTCTTGTTTTTTTTTCTCCAAGTTATATAGGTTGATGATGTTCATTTTTAAATATAGACATGTTGTCAATGCCGCACTTAATGCTAATGGCTCTTAGCCTGCAACAGGGTCTTTTTTTAATTCACATATACTTAAAACAAACAGATCCAGGAGACCAAATCACCATTGTTCACAGCCTACTGAGGTTCTCTCGCTGTATACATAACATGTCAGGACAGACAAACCAGCTCTTTTCTAACCTATTAGGTTGCCCATGGAGTAGTTCAATTCAAGGTAGACAGTCCACAATTCATGACCTGAAACATCTGCAGAAAGTGCTTGCACTGGCAAAGCTTCCACGGAATTACAGAATTTCCCAGCACAGCTAAAATGCAGGCAGCGAAGAATATGAAAGGTGTCTTTCTGAAGAAACATATAGGCCATGGAGTGAAAAACCGCACTAGTGAATGGTAAAATAGATAAATATTTATTTCTTGCCTAAGAAGGAAGCTACTATGGAATGTAGCTGCCTAATCTTAGAGGTGTTTAACAAGTCAGCAAAGAGACAGGGCTCTAAAGGGCTTTAGCTGAATGTTTTAGACACAGGAGTGTTCATATCCTTGTGCGCATTGCTACTGTGGGTTAAATGTGACAGGAAAACCAAGAAATTGTAGGGAGCAATCAAAACATCCCAAGATCACCCAAACCAAAGACATCATTTCACGTTGCTTTCGTAAAAATACTTACTTACAGCACAGTCCTGGAAATGATTTCCAAGCAAGCCAACTGCTGCTTTAGACAGTTTACTGGATGGTGTGGCTCAGCTCTTTCACATAAGAAGCACCTACAGTTATATCTAGAAAAGGAAATAAAACCAAAATCTTTTGTGAGCAAATACACAAATAAAGTCGTCTTTCCTTTTTTAAATCACAATCAGCTTAACACTAGCTTATAGGAGGGCTGTATAAAGTTCTCATGCCGGGCTTCAAGTGTGCTGGCCATTTACAGGAACGAGCTCCACATCACAGTTAAAGCCTACCTGGCAGTGCCTGGGCTTGAGAAAAAACCCTGCTCACTGCATCAAAGCAGAGAACAAACTGGCGCAGCTGTTTGGCTCTTTTCTTAAATCTAGTTTTACTTAAAGCTTTCTCACGAAATGCAACACGAAATACTGCCTTTCATGTCAAAAGTTGAGGTGATTTCAGTAAGGCCAAGCACTGCAGGCACTAAGTTCTTTTCCTCTCCTGAGTGGGTGTTCGCTTGCAAGTTTTCAACATCTTAGCAATTCAATGACTGAAGGAATTAATGTTCAACTTAACAGTCATTGTTAGGCTGGGAGGTTATTACTGCTTGTTCTGTTAAAATGACAGATTAAAAGAGGTTTGCAGCTGAAGGGTTGTTTTCCACGGTGTGTCCTCCCCAGCTTTTCATACTGAATCACCTTCTTCCATCACGTCAAGTGCTCCTGCACGAGCCACTGCTGCGAGCCCTGCCCCACGAGCTGCGGTGGGTGAGAGGAGAAACAGCACAGGGCAGGAAAGGAAGGGGGAGCGCAGCCCCAGCGCTTCTGTGCAGGCTGCCCCCAGTTTTATTTTAAAAGCATCTTATGCCCTTTCTGCCAGACTTTGCAACAGAGGTGCACACTCGCCTCTGCAGGGCAAATTCTGCTTTTACAGCAAGCAAACAGGTAAAGTGCCAGGCCCCATAAGCAGAGAAGGGCTCCCATCCTCCCAGCTACGGGAGCCTCCTCACGGCCACACACTTGCAGGACTGGAGTTGCAGTTTCTCAACCCCTGGCCCGGAGCACAAGTTCTTAATCTTTATGGCAAAGCCAAGCCCTGAATCTCAAGGTGAGATTGACAGGGCTGGAGGAGAAAAAAAAATACCACCACATATCTAACTTTTGCAGACTCAGATCCACTTTGTACTAGGAAATGAGCTTTCATCCTTCCCTTCTTTATTTTTTTTTGCTCTTGGGGTAGATAGCAAGCTGCTGACAACTCACACTGCACTAAGAACTGTTCACACCGCACAAAGTGTTTACCACTCACAACTGATGCTAAAAAATAATTTACAGCCCCGCTACAGAGAGCTTTGACAAATTGTCATGTGTTGACACAGTCATAAGTTGTTGGTTAAAAAAAGTAACACTTCCCTCTTCTGCCACCTCATGTTTGAGATCAGGGATGGGCACATTATGCAAAGTTTGGGGGTTTGTGAGCTTCACAAATGTTTGGGCTTCACAAAACAAGCCAGGTTGTGAAACTTCTCTCCTCTTATAGCGAGGTGTGTGTTTGTTGCCAAAAGGATTCCAACAAGAAAAAAAAAATTCCTTTTCCATCTACCCAGATCTACGTGTTGGGTGAAACAAGAGGCAAAACACTACACTTTTTCTTCTCTGCGTACGATAACATCAGAGCAGTGGCAAATGCCCTGTATCAGCTGCTCAGAGCTGCAGACGCCACCCACCTACCATAGAAAGCAAAAAAAAGGCATCTCCAAGTAAGAATTTTAATTGTTCTCAGCTGTCACTTGTTATCTTAAGTGAACACTTTTATTTCCCAGTTCTTTTGTATAGTTCTACATGAAAAAATAAAAATAAAAATAGCAGCAGTGTTCATCAGACAAGGTCCAAATTGATTTCTGTGCGCACCAGATAGCAAGCGTTAGTCAGCACTTGTGTCTATGGCACTCCTAAATAACTCCCCCTCTTCTGGTTCAAGGCAGGATAAATAATCTGTCTTGTTTATACATTAGATTCAGTCATGGGCAAAGTGCTGGTTTTGCCTGAAACGAGCACCATTTCAGCAGGTAACACGCCAGTGAAAATTGAGAGCTGCACACTAGAATAAATGGAATAAACAGAATAAATCAAGGCTAAGACATAAGGCTAACATTCAACCACCAGGAAATAATGCATCTACCTGGCCAAGGTGTAAACACTGCTATCTTTAAATTTTATTGACCTGCCCTGCACTTCTGTAGAGACTCTTGCTTGCAGACAAGCACCGTATATCCCTGCACCGGATCTCTGCACCATCTGAGACGTTACTTTGACAAATGACATCGATTACTCCTTCAGATCTAATGGAAGTAGAGACACTACGGATTGCACATTCACGCTGTGCACTCGAGATGGACATTATCTTGTGCTGCTGACTGCAATGATATCATCCACGCTTAATTAGTTTAGATTGCCGGGCATTTAGAAAAGCAATCAAGTCGAAATTCTAACCCCCGCCTTCTTAAGTAGCAAAAAAGTTGGAAATGTTTTTGGTGCATCACATGAAATGCACTATGTCACTGGATTCAGGCCAAGAGTCAATGAGGCTGAAATACAGATGATCCAACTCTCAGCTCAAAACCAGCAGCTGTGTAACTGCCTCCTCTTTTACCCAGAGGGTAACACTAATTTTCCTCCAGACAAGAGGAAAATTGATAAAATCTAAGTTCTATTGTATGTTATCTACAGTGCCCAAATCCGATCTCTCGCACGCACTTTTCTTCCTTTGCTGCATGGATGGAAACACAAGTAGCTTTTAAACTTCCTACTCTGGGACAGCAAAAGCGCAAGGCATCCCCACTGACCAGGCGAACTGCACTGATTTGGGAAAAAAAGAAAAAAAACAGATGCAACTGTGCATTCACAGACTTTTGGGGTAAAAAAATAAAAGTGTCCATTTCCATTAAGATGCATTCACTTGTGACAAGTTTCCTCCTGGCAGGCCCACCTTGCCAATACGGAGAAGCCACCTGCAAGAGAGAGGGCCCTTTTGGCCCGTGTGGGTCCCCTGCCTGAGCTCTTGCCTGCTCGAACCAACTTGATCTTCCTTGATCTTTGTGTCCCTGCAGGCCAGCTCTGCCCAACCTTCTGAGTGCGGGAAGGCCAAAAGGGCTTCAGCAACTGGGAAATGGAGAGCGAGTCCGTCCCGTGCCCTTCCTATGCCAGAGCACCCTGCCTTGACCCCCAGGTTTGGGCAGGAGAGCACACGGACACAAGCTGGTCCTGCACCATGAGTCCCCCTCTCGCTGCCTTGGGCATGGCCACAGAGAAGATGCTCGCTCCAGCAAACGCTCCCCGAGACTCTCCAGGCTAAAAGGGAACATTTGAATTTGTCCTGCTGTCTTGCTGATGCAGTTACGTAGCTGGAGGGACACAGTGCTGAGCAATGCACTGGGTAGCGACCGCCCGCATGTGGTGCAGACTGCGCGAAGCAGATGCTCCCCAGCTCAGAAAATAAGCAGCAGTGTCACCGCCTTTCTGTTCCCTGGACAGCACCTTTCCAACCCGAGAGCGCAGCGTTACCGCTCTGCAGCAACCCAAACACTGCAGATGGCGTTTGCGAAAGTCTCCCCCTGCAAGGCAAGGGACATGAGTGACTAAGGCGACCGCGGGTAACTTTCCTGTCTGCCGCTGCGCTGCGGCAAAGGTCAGGGCGCCAAGCGCGGCCGCCCACCAGGCGGCAGGGAGGCCGCGCGCTCCCGCGCCGCCGGCAAAGCCTGGGCCCTCCAGCCCGCTGGAGGGAGCCAAGAGCACTTCCAGTCCTGGAACCTCGTGAAGGCTCCACGCGCTCAAACTTGAACCCAGGTGCTCCTATTACCTGGGACCGAGAAGACGTGAATCGGCACTGGGTTGTTCAGCAGAGCCTCGACCTGCAGAAATCCTTCCCTTCCTGACTGCCATGGGATGCACCGCGCGCTCCCATCCTTTCCCCCACAAGGAACCTAGTGGCTCTGGGAAGAGGCCCATCACTCAAAAGCCACCAGCTCCATTTCCCTCTTAGTCATTCCAACAAAAAACACAAGGAAATGCACAGATCCCTCTGCGGCAAACCGGGAAGTTCTTCCCCTCCCAGCCCACAGAGGCACTCATGCACATGGGCATCCCTTCCCTTTCCCTTTACAACCAAAGCCTTTTTCCACTAATATATTTTTCAGCACTTTGTTAGCATTACATCTGCTGCAGGGTGTGAGCAGCAGCATTATCTACAGCAACGGCTATGAAGGCAAACGTGCACTAATTGAAACAGGATTCTCTTCTTCCTGAACTAGTCGTACCATTTTCAGCCAAATACATCATCTTGTTTCTTCCTCAACTTGTGTCCGCTGTGGTCAAACTTCTACCAGAGCCAAATGCATTTGGGTTAAGAAACATTCCAATGAGGATATTCCCATGGTTGCTCTCAAAGCAGATGTCTGCTTTTTGCTTGGACAATGGACATTTGTGATTTTAATGCAGTGCTCACCAACAAATTAAAGGTTCGGTTAAAAGGCACAGCACAACTGCAGGCTCTGTGTGACGGGTACATCACACAGCACAAACCGCTCTGCATGGAGCACTTGCATATACAAGCACAGAATTTTCTAGATGTTTTTGGGCCACCTGATGTCAAAAAGATAATCGGACAACTAAGAAAATCCAGAACAGTCACACAGGTATGAGTCTTTTAGAAAAAGCATTTAAATGAGCCCATTTTAGTGGGTACGTGAAGAAATCCACCTTCTGTTTCCACGAGCACTATCGTGCCGGGGCAGCCCGGTGGCGGGGCCAGCCCTGCGGCTTTCCCGCGGTCTGTGTGACCCCTCCAAGCGCTCCCGCGCTGCCGCCTGCCTCCCCGCTGGAGCCCTTGCTCCGGGCAGACGCGGCGGCTGGCTGCGCAGGATGTCTGCACAGCGCTGCTCGTTCCGCAACGGGGCCGCTCACGCTGGGATTGGAAACAGCCAAGCGGGCAAACGCCAAGGCTGCCTTCGGCACGCAGGAGTGAAAGACCAGGACGCATGGATCCTGCATTCATCCAGTTCTGTCTTCCCAACGTCTTCCCTCACCGTCAGAAACTCTTTGGTTTGGATTTTGGT